TTGGCCAGGCTGATCTCGAACTCCTGGCTTCAAGTGATCCATCTGCCTTGGCCTCGCAAAGTGCTGGGATTATAAGCATGAGCCGCCGCATCCAGACGGCTTTTCTAATGTTGGCAGATGTCTTGCCTCCCTCCTTATCTCTGTTCCCAGCTGGCACTTTTGCTACAAATGGGATTTCTTCATGTAACAAGAAAATGGTCTCCATCAGCCCAGCTTACACTACTTCAATGTAGTTGGCCACTCCTGTCTTACAGAGGTTAGATACAACATCCCTGAGAATGTTCTCACAGGCCCATTTTACATCAGGGTTTCTGTCATTAGACCAGCTACAGCCAAGGGAAATATGGTTCTGTGATCAGAGAGGATTTCCCCATGGGCTCTGTTTCTAGAAAAAGGAAGGAGGCAGAGCAGGTAAAACAAAAACCAGCGCAGTCCATTATACCCCCAACTATGAAGGCCCATTCATTCAGTCACAGGTGGGTGCCTTCCCCCCGGCCTAGAATAATCTCCAAACCTGACCCACTTGACAAACCTTGGCATTTAAGACCAAGGCTTCCAGTACACATTCACTCACACTCATCCCTTAACAGAGTTGAATACATCCTTTGGACTACCTTAGCACCTTGTACATGCCTCGGTTATTTCACTCACTCACTCACTCACTCACTCCTTTGTTAATTTAACAAATGCTTAGGGCACATTGCACCCAACTCCTCCTGGGTTGTGAGTTTCTTAAAATCAGGAATCGTCCCTGTCATCTTGGGTTCTCCAACCTCTGCCAGAGTGCTTGGCCCACTGTCAGGGCTTGGTAACTACTAGAGGTCACCACCTTAAATGTTGGGGTGACTGCAGGACTGGGCCACTCCCTGGCCAGATGGAGAACCTGGGGTGCTGGGTACAGAGAGGGAGGAACTGAATGCCACAGGTTGCCCAGCTCAAGTCAGTAATTACTCTATATTCATTGCAAATCCATCATACCCTAGACTTTCAAGAAGCACTATATGCATTCTGTAGCAGTGAATGGCAGAATTCAAACTATAACACATGCCTGGTTTGGCCTGATATATTGTGCATGGAAAGTGCTTATTTTTCACATGTTAGATCTGAGACTCTTAAGAGGTCATGGTAGCCAACTTGAATTCCCTGGAGTTATGAACTTCTTCGTGGTGTTAACATACCTCCAAAAATGTGGAATTTTTTACCTTTTAAGGCAACCCTATAGTTATGAGGGGCTACTTGCTGTCTCCTGGCTACTTTGTCTGTCAGTCTAGTTCTCTTCTCTAGGACTACAAGGAAAGTGATCCCTCCCCTTTCCAATAGCCATTTCATATCATGTTCATTCATTGATTCATGCGTTCATATTATGCATTCATTAATGGAATCATTCATTTAAAAATACTTTTAAGGTCTATTTTGTCCAAGACAGTCAGGTCCTCTGTTCACATTGAGCTGACATCTTTAGAGAAGAGAGCTAGACAGTTAAGCAACTAAACAAACAGGAGAAATAAAATTATCAAAGAGCCATGAATAAAGAAAATAGGGCAAAATGAGGGTTGGGGCAAATTTTGATAGAGTAGATAGAACAGTAGCTTTGAGGTTGAGGTGGCTACACGCAGTGTGGGAGGAGAGCATCTAGGGAATTGAAGGAAGGGAAGGTGGTCAGTGTGGCTCATGTGGCATTGAGGGAGGGAGAAAGACAGAAAATGAGGACAGAAGGCTGGGCAGGCTGGCTCATGCCTGTAATTCCAACACTTTGGGAACCTGAGGCAGGAGGATTACTTAGGCTCAGAAGTTCAAGACCAGCTGGGTAGCATAGCAAAATCTTGTCTCTACAAAAAAAAAAAAAAAAAAAAAAAAAAAAAAAAAAAAAAAAATTAGCTGGATGTGGTGGTGCTTACCTGTAGTCCAAGCTACTTAGGAGGCTGTTGGGGGAGGATCGCTTGAGCCCAGGAGTTTGAGGCTGCAGTGAGTGTGATGACACCACTGCATTCCAGCCTGGGTAACAGAGTGAGACCCTGTCTCTAAAATAATAATTTTTTAAAAAAGAAAAGAAAATGAGGATGGCATCTCAGGTAGGGGCCAACCTATGTGGGACCTTGTAGCCACGATAAGGAGCTAAGTATCTCTTGTCAGAGAGAGAGAAGCCTTTTGAAGCAGGAGAGTGATGGATAATTTTGAAAGAGCACTTGAATGTGGGATCTTGAGGTAGATATCCAAATCCATAAAGACAATGAGGAGCTGTCTGCTACTTTTATTTTGAGGAATCATAAAGGTTCTGATTTAGAGGTGAGTTTCAGAAGTCCTGGAGAGAGTGCACCATAATATCTGGAGCCAGAGTTGGGGCATCCCAAAACAAGCCATGGGATTCTCCTCTTGGAAGGGCATCCTCCTTTTCCAGATAGTCAGGTTTTGTGTTTTTTGTTTTTCCTATGTCCCTCTTATGAATTCCTAGCAACAGGGAAAGAAATAGGAGGCTAGTCAGCAGGAGTTTTTTTATTTCCTCATGGAGAAGGATGGGATTATCCCTAGTGAGTACCACATTCGGTGCCACTGTTGTCTGTGATGGAACCCATGCTACCAAGGAAGAGTGGATGTCTCATGGTCAGAACCAGGGCCATGGACAATGTATTTAGGTGTTGTTTTTTAAGATGCACAACCATTCAAAAAACACACACACAAGCAAGCATCTAGTAAAAGCATTGCCACACACGATGGATAAAGGGCAGTGTCCTTAATACACAGAACTCACCTCAATGTGAAACCAGAGGCCCTATTTTGTTTTGAATGGAGAAGGACGTCAACAAATTTTTACAGAAAAGGAAATGCAGATGGTTAATGAAATGTATTTAATTTCACTAGAATCAGAGACATGCAAACTAAAACAATAGCAGGATACAGGGTGTCTTTTGGGGGAAATTCTCTTGTCAAATTGAAAAAAATATTTTTTCAAAAACTGCAGTGCTGGTGAGGCTGTAATGAGATGGACACTCTCATAAACAATTTGTGAGATGTATCTTAAAAAGGGGACACTTTTTTTGGGTATCTTAAAAAAAGCTTATACCCTTTAATCCATTAGTCCTACTTCTTAGGATCTTTCTTATGAAAATAGTTTAAAATGATGGCACTTATTTGTATGTAAAATATTGGAAATAGTCTACCTGATAATAGTAGATGATTGGTTGACTTAATTGTGATATATCATTCAGTGAACTATGTGTAGAAATTAAAAATTATATTTTGGAAGATATTTTTGGTAGTAGAGAAAATATTTGTATGATGCTATTATGTGGAAAACATCAAAATCATAATTAATAGAAAGTATAAAGCAATTATGAATGTGAATACATATTATATATATTGAAATTGATCATTGGATCAAAAATGTATATACCAAGGTTGTTAGGAATTTTCTCTGCATGGTAAAATTATGGGTACTTTGTTTAATTTTTTTGATATTCCAATGAATTTTTGTTTTGTTTTACACAAGGAATATGTATTACTTTTGAAATCAGATAAAAGCAGCAAATGGTTATAAGTATTCCCTACTGCCCCAGCCTGGGCAACATGGCCAGACCCTGTGTCTACAAAATAGAGAGCAGTAAGTGCCCCCTATCACCTGTCAGAGACACCCACACTCTCCCTTCATTCCTCCTTCCAACACTCTGTTCCTGTAATTCCAAGACTCTAGCTCTAACCATAGCCACAGAGTGATACGCATACTGTCATACCGTTTTGAATATCAACCTCATTCCTACAGTGAGACTGATTTTTTTATATGACTTAGAAGTTAGGAATTCAAAAATAGTTTGATCTTTGGCAGTGGAATCAAACAATGTGTGCATCCTCCTGGGGCCCTATGATGGAGTAAAAAGCACGTGGACTTGGAGCCAGATGACCTGAGTTCAAATGCTGCTCTCCTGCTCCCAAGCTTTGTGATTCAGGAAAGTTCCCTGGGCTGCAGTGTTCCAATCTATAAAATGGGGACATGGTTCAGACCTTTACCTGGGTCTGTTTGTGAGCACTCCTCAGGATCCTATCTCTAGAGGGACCTAGCAACAGCCTGGCATGGACTTGGCCATCACATTGGTACTCTTGCTGCTTTCGAGAGGTTGCTACTTGAAAAAACATAAGACAGGTCATTTGTTTTGAGATCTGCAGGAACAACACCTGGAGCTATAAGGCTACACAGACCCAGCCCTGCTGCCTCTCTGCAGCGTATCTTTTTGAACAAGTGACTTAGTCTTCCTGAGCCTCAGAGTGCTCGTTTGTGTGATGGGAGTTGACGACAACATCCACCTCGCAGGGCAGTTGCCCTCACCATGGATAATACATTCAGTAGCGTGCATGGTACCTTCCAAAATTTCAGTTGATTCACTCAGTTATTTGATATATTTTTTTCTGATTGCAAATGAAATAGATGTTCAATGTAGGGAATTTAGGAAAAAGCCTTAAAAAAAAGAGAGAGAGAGGCCGGGCATGGTGGTTCACACCTGTAATCCCAGCACTTTGGTAGGCCGAGGCAGGCAGATCACCTGAAGCTGGGAGTTTGACACCAGCCTGACCAACATGGAGAAACCCTTTCTCTACTAAAAATACAAAATTAGTCAGGCATGGTGGTAGGCACTTGTAATCCCAGCTACTCGGGAGGGTGAGGCAGGAGAATTGCTTAAGCCCACAAGGCGAAGGTTGTGGTGAGCTGAGATCTTGCCATTGCAAGGGCAACAAGAGCGAAACTCCGTCTCAAAAAAACAAAAAAAAAAACAAAAAAAAAAAGAAAAGAAAAGAGCGAGAGAGAAAGAGAGAACATATATGTTTCCAGCCCTTTGGGTTTATAATGGAGTAGCTGTGCCTTTGCATCTGACCCCCCATCCCCCTCCCCCTCCCCCTTCTGAACTAAGCTGCCCACTTGCAAGTGATTGTTATCCCCAGCAAGCTGTGGCTGGACACCCTGGTGTTTCATCAATGCCCCAGTGTGGTAACACTGCTGTTGGCTCTCTCAGCAGATCCTTCAAGCCAGACTTCATCCTGGTCCGTCAGCACGCCTATAGCATGGCCCTGGGGGAAGACTACCGCAGCCTGGTCATCGGCCTGCAGTATGGAGGACTGCCTGCTGTCAACTCTCTCTACTCTGTCTACAACTTCTGCAGCAAGCCCTGGGTGGTAGGTGATAGGTCAGGCTGACCTGGAGGGATCTGGGAGGCAGTGGGTGGCTTCCCGTCCTGTGATGAGCCCATTCCCTAGCATGGAGGCTTCAGTAGTAAACATTCTTACTTAAGCCACTAAACTAAACTTGGATCTCAGGGCTCTTGTTGTAATTGTTGCCTAACAATTATTATATTAACAATATGTTATAAGAATATTTATAATAAATACATACGCATTTATATATAGTAGGTGATATATGTTACATGTAATATATGACATATGATATATATGTAATAATTGATCTGTGTAATATATAATCTATAATACAGTGACAATATGTACTATTAATATATAATAAAACATGTTATGTAACATATGATACAGTATTATTATAATATTAGTCATAAAGATGCACATATTGTTTTATGAACATTCTGTCATTATTGTTGTTAACAGCAGATACCATTTATTGAGCACTTACTATGTCCCAGAAAACTATGCTACCTGGCACTCATTCTGTCGCTCTCATGTGAAGTGAGTGTTATTCCTTCATTTTACAAAGACAGAAGCTCAGCTTCAGGCTGGTTAAGCAACTTGCCCAGTGAGTGGTAAAGCCAAAACTTAAGCCATCTCTCCCCAACATGCAACGTTTAAATTCTCTTCTTTTATTCATTAGTTTCAGTCATTCATTTGATTTATTTGAGTTTCCATCCAAATGTTACCTAAAAGAAAGACTTCTTGACTGGGTACGGTGGCTGACGCCTGTAATCCCTGCACTTTGGGAGGCTGAGGTGGGTGGATCACCTGAGATTGGGAGTTTGAGACCAGCCTGGCTAACATAGTGAAACCCTTTTTCTACTAAAAATTAGCTGGGTGTGGTGACATGAACCTGTAATCCCAGCTACTCAGGAGGCTGAGGCAGGAGAATCTCTTGAGCCTGGGAGGTGAAGGTTGCAATGAGCTGAGATTGTGGCATTGAATATTGAACCCCAGTTTGGGTAAGAGGAGCGAAGAAGAAAGGGAGAAAGAGAGAGAGAGAAGGAAAGAAGTAAAGAAAGGAAGGAAGGGAGGGAGGGAGGGAAGGAAGGAAGGAAGGGAGAGAGAAAGAAAAAGGAAGAAAAGAAAGAAGAAAGAAAGAGGAAGGAGGGAAGGAGGGAGGAAGGAAGGAAAGAAGGAAGGAAGGAGGGAAGGAAGGAGAGAAAGAAAGAGAGAGAGGGAGGAAGGAAGGAAGGTAGTTAGTTAATTAGTTCTAAAAATATCACTCCTCCACTCCCTTGAGTACTCTCAAATCCCTTACCCTGCTTTATTTTTTTCCTACTTATCTCCACCTAGAATGATAAATGCATCCATTCATTTGTGCATTATCTGTTCCTCCGATTAGAAATTATTCATTCATGCAACAAATACTTCTTGGGTACTTACTCTGTTCCAGGTACTGTCCTAAGTCCTAGGAATGTAGCAGTGAGCAAATCAGACCAAAACTCCTGCCCTGTGGATCTTACATTCTAGTGAGCAGGGGCATGTGTAATGCTTTAATACATATGCCAAATATACAATATGTGCTATGATCAGTGGCAAGGGGGAAGATAAAGGATGGAAAGAGGATAGGTAGTGTGGAGGTTAGGGGTGTGTAGAATGTGCTCTGTGAAGCTCATAGTTGTCTTTTCTGTGGTGTTTTGCTGTCTGTCTGTGTGATCACCCGGTGGTATAGGGTGGTAGTTGAGAGTGAGCTCTGGAGCCAAACTCTTAGGTCCAGGCTTCTCCACTTATGAGCTGTGCTACTGTGAGCAACCCCCTTAACCTCTCTGAACTTAGCTGCCTTATTTGGAAAGTGGTGATCATAATAGGGCCTTCCTGGTAGGATTATGATGTAATAGATATAAAGTGCTTATAGTGTGGCTGGCACAAAGTATACACTCAACAGGTGATAAAAATTATCACTGCCTTAGGTACCTGGAATAAGTCCCATGCACAGTTGGGACACTCAGTATTTACTGAATGGCTACATGCATTAATTTAATAAGTATGGATAGACTTTACCACTATCATCATGGCCCTGGTCTCCTTCTCATTCTGCCCTAACTGAGCTTTTTGGCCAATGGCATCCAAGATTTTCAAGTGCCACTTTTAGGAAAGGATCCTAGACAGCCCTTCTCCACCTTCTTCCACAGTCATCACAAGAGTAGCAACCACAATTTGTCAGCACTAACCATGCGCTATCCTGAGCCCTTAACATGCATACTGCATTTAATCCTCAGCACCCTTATGAGTGGCAGTTGCTAATAGCTCCATCTTACAGATAAGGAAACTGAGGCTCACATAGCTAGTAGTAAGTGGTAGAGCTACGCCTCTTCAAAACTCATGTGCTTACCTGTGGAATTACTCTCCCTCCTGGACTCCAGTTTCCTTGTCTGCAAAATGAGGGACCAACTCCCCTCCCCACACACACACGTACATCATTTTCCATAGTTCTGAGTTCTCCTAAACCCTCCAATATTGACTCCATGTTGTGCTGCATCTGAAGGCTACACCTCAAGGGTTTGCCAACCAATCCTGGGCTGATGCAGAAAGTTCCTAAGTTACTCTGTTCTCAGTGTCCAGGCTCTTAGTATTGAGTGACCCCCAAGTCAGGTCGGCCCCTCCTTTAACCACTGGGCATCTGCATGGGACCACAGATTCCGGTAGATTTCTTTATCTTGTTCAGAATCTGATTGGCTCTTCTCTGCTTATATCCACCAGAAACTCTCCTTCACCTTCTGGGTGAATTCTAAGCTTTTTGGTCAGGCCTTTAAGGCTGGTAGTCTGTGATGGATCACCCTTCGACCTCATCTCTCATCATCACCTACAGCTGATGCCACAGCATGGCAGCAGCAGAGGGTCTCCAGCACACACTAGTCTCAATGCACACCTGGAGCACCCATTCTCCTCTTATTTCATCTGCTCCGGGGGATCATCCTGATCCCCTTTCCAGGTCCCATCACCCCCCATGCTTCCCTCCAGCAAGACATTAGTATCACAGTCATGCACCTGCAGCTGTCTTCCCTCTGGCCTACCCTCCATGTTCAGCTTGTTGCCTCAGTAATAAAGCATAGTGATGGAGCTCACCTTTGAGCTCTGGAGACAATAACTAATACCTGGCAAAACAAGCAGGTGTTGAAGCAGGAGGAGAGAAGTGGGAAGCTCAAGTGGGCTTGAGCTATTGGAAATGAGAGGGGTTGCAACAGCAGAGAAAATACTAATAACCACACCTAGCATTTTAGCACTGCTGTGGACACAGCACTGCCTTTGACACGCTGCTTCCTTACAACAATCCTATGAGGTTGGATCTCTCATTATCTCCAGTTTACAAGTGAAGAAACCGAAATTCAGAAACCTGAACTGATTTCTCAGGTCATACAGCTAATAAGTGGCAAACCGAGAATTTGAACTCAGGGAAAGTGGATCCACATCTACATCATCAGTTACCATGCAGCGCTGCCTCTCTAGAAAGAAGGCATTGCAGGCAGGGAGTAGGGCATGAACATCAGCAGGTACCATGGAGAAGGACCTTGTGTGAAATGCTGAGGTTGTAGTAAGTGCTCATTAAATATGGTTGAGCTGAACCCAGTGTTCTGCCTACTTACTAGGACTTGGGCAGAAATGGAGGGGTTGATACATATAGATGATGGAGAGGATGAATGTCCAGCCAAGGAAACTAGCCCTTATCCCATAGTCAGGGAGCACCTACTGAAGCTTAGCTTAGACTAGTCAGATACTTGAGGACCCAGATCAAGTGGGAGGTTTTGCCATCCTGCGTAACAATGGTTGATCAATGTTCTCTCCTCTTCTATCCTAGTTCTCTCAACTCATTAAGATCTTCCATTCCCTGGGTCCTGAGAAGTTCCCGCTTGTGGAGCAAACATTTTTCCCCAACCATAAGCCAATGGTGAGTGCCCTTTTTTACTGTTTCTTTTCATGATGTGGAATGAATAACAGATGTCTTGTCCTCAGTCCCTTTGGACAGAGGAGGTGGACTCTAGGGGTTGTACACTGACCATGCAGACTCTAAGACAGAGCCACAGTGTCCTGTGGGAATATCTGGCTTTCCTAAGGAAAGTCATCTCTCCAGGTGAAATTCAGGCAGTAGGGCAAATGACAAAGGTGGACCACATTCCTTGGACATTGGAGATTTTCGGCAAATCAGGGGACAACTTTTGCTGGAATGTTGGAGCCAGAGGCTGATTATAAAGGTAAAAGATGTTTTCAAGGTTGGATATTGTTTTACTTGAGCCTTTTGTGGAACCTGATTTCAACTCATATTTTAATAAAAAGCAGGAATATTAATATTTGATTTGCATTGATTGTTGAAGGGCAGTTTCCTTACATGTCCTCTTCACTTTCTAATTTCTGAATGCACCTGAGATCTCCTCTGGGAAGCGGTTAGGGCTTAGCTCAGAGTATGTGGTACAGCTTCCCATTTGGAGGATACCTGGGTGGAAGAGGTGAATGTCTTTTTGAATGAGGTGAAGGATTCTCCACCTCAAGTCAGAAGAAGTTGGGGGTGTGGGAACTCTGAGCAGCAGGAAACAGCCTGCAACACGTCTGCTTGCATAGCTTGTGGTCTTCTTAAACTGGCCAAAGGAATGCAAGGTTGTGACCCTGCACTTGGCCTTGGAGGGAATGAGTCTTTGGGAACAGAATAATTAATAGGGCATCCCATAGTCCCAGCTGGGGACTTACTGCAGCTGTTTGTAGAATCCAAGCTCAGGCTGCTGGGCTAGACAGCCCTGTTTGGAGACACTGATGGGTAGGACTGCAGGTTCCAGGAGGAAGCAGTCTAACCAAGCAGAATTTTCTGTTGATGATCTTACCCCTACATCTGATTGGGCAAGAGTCACAGAATCCAGAATGTGCTGGTTGAGATAAGAAAGGCACATGTGAAACCCAGCATATCCCCAAACCCTGAATTTCCCCCACTATATGCAGGTTTATAGTGGAGAATATTCAGAGTTCATTATCAAACCTGCCTGAGTTTGAATCCCCGTTCTGTCTACACACTAGGTCTCAGGAAAATGACTTTATCTCTGTGAGCCTCAACTTCTTCAGGTAAAAACCATGGATAATGGTGGAGCAACCTCACTGAGTAGTTGAGATTTCATGGGATCCTGTGTATAAAGTGCTGCACCTGGCATATGATAGGAGTAGCTTTAAAAGAAGGGTGAAAGCTACAACCTGGAACATTGTCAATGGTGGGATGAAAGTCGGGTGAGGGGTCTGCAGCCAGCCCAGCCCATTGACAGGGACAGGCCCTGCTGTAAACTCTGAAAGGAGGTTGTTATAAGCACTGGGAAAAGGTCACCAGCTGTCGTGAGACCTCATGAGTTCCTGGTGTTCCCAACTAGGCCAAGCCATACTTGGAATTTCAAGCAGGCAATTGACAGCAAGGACTGCTGTTTGCAGGCTACCCCTCCCCACTTCCACCAGGTTGGGATTCTTAGGAAGAAAACAAGGAGGGCTAAGTGAGGACTCCAATCTGGGGATATGTGTACCACCAGTAGGTGATTACATACAAATATGTTAATAGATCCAGATTCAGCAGAACTAGGGAAGACTCTAGCAATAGAATCAGGGAGCAAAGTCAAGGCAGAGCACCTCTCCTGAGATTCCTTCTGCAAGGGAAAAGGACTAGAGCAGGGTGGGACCAGGCTGCAGAAGTGCATGGCAGGAGGGATGGGTCCAGGCCTGGAGTCGGGGACAGACTTCCAAGGCCTGCTATTGTGTACATAACTCCCGGTGGCAGTGAAAAAACAACATGGCAAAAGACAGCAGATGTGTGATAGAAATAAAACCACTTTACTGTTTAGAATAAAGGACACACTATAAAAAGTGAACATTATGCAATATTACAAGACAATATACATTTACGGAATATAAAATTCATAAATAACATGGAGGAAAACTGTAAACAGTGCTACAAAATTTAGCAACAAATACATTCCTTCTAGACAGGGTTTTCTCTAGTTGGTTTCTCTCCATCACTTCTGGGTTTCCGGACAGCAGACTGGCTAAAGGGAACGGTAGGTGGGAGAATCTAAGAAGCCCCTACCCCCAAAACATAAACTGTTCTCAAAGTTCTTCCCTTCCTCTCACCTCCAAAGAACCAGTTTGGAAGTTGTTGTCACATCTACCTCCCCTACTGTCTCACATTTTGTTTTGCGTTTGCCATCAGATTTTTAGAATTTTCTCTCTGATAAAAATACTCTAGCGACATGTTTACCTTAGGTAGCCAGAAGCCAGACACTTGGGTGCCATCTTGGTGTAGTCCAGATTGTCAGTCAGCACGTGCAAGATACAGGTCTGGGCGCGGAAGGGTAGTGTCTTCTAGGGGACACAGTGTCCCCTAGACAGGGCTATTCCAAAAAGTCATTTGTTTCCTTAATTGTTCAAGAACCGTGTTGCCACTATGAGGCAGGTCTGGAACTAGGGGAGGGTAAAGACAGGAGTCTCCCAGTATTACCTGCCCTGGACAGAGCAGAGCACTGGCCTGAGAGGTGACAGCCTGGGCATGGAGCTTCCTTGATTGAAAGGCAGAAGAGATGCCCAAAGGTGGCAATGAGAACTTGGAATTGTATCTCCCATGGCCCTGGATTCTTAGGAAAATCATGGCCTCCCAACTGGAAGGATAACAGAACTTGGGGTGAAGTAAATGGTAGTCTCCCCAGGGCCAGGTGACATAGAACAAGAACATGAATGTACTTTAAACTTTTTTTCCTACTCCAGGAACCATTGGGATTCCAATAGGGAGGAGGCTGGAGGAGTCTCAGTTCCTTCTAGTTCCCCCAATTCACCAGTCTAGCTGCTTGCCTAGAAGTATTTTACTTTCCATTCCACTGTAGAATTTGATTCAGGAAAATGGCGGCATGTGGGTTTCATTTTTTTTTCTCTTAAACACAATGTACACATATTACATGCTACACATGACACAAGATTTAGCAAAATAAAATGTTCACGATATGATTGAAATACAGAAGTGTCTCAGCTACATAAATGACTTTAAATTATACAGTAAGTGAACGGGTGAAATAAACAAAGCTATAGCTTATAGAAAGCTCAAAACCGCCCTCTGACATTGCTTTGCGAAAGACCCTTCTTTGTCCAGGGCCTTCTCACCAAGGCCTAACAGATGGGGCTGTGGTTCTGCTAATGTATCGACTCTGCAGGGAAACTTCAGGTGCCTCACGCTCAGCCTTCACCCAGGTCCCTCCTTGTGTGAGAGGGGCTGACCACACCGGGGAGTGAGAATGGCCAGATGCCTCACAGAGAAGACATTGATGTCTTCTTGTGGGAGGGAGCTTGCGTAGGTTGGTCAGTCATGCCTCACCATGCGAGACTTTGAGGTTAAAATAAGGACAATCCCAAAACATCAAGTCTGGGCTCATCCCTTAAAAACCACTGACCTGCTGGCCTCAGCTTCGTCTGCTCACACTGCCTCACAGAGAGGGCCAAGCCTCCCATTCCCCCCCTGCCAAATGGCATGACCACAAAGGGAAAGGTACAAGGTAATGAAATTGATCCCAAGGAAACCCAATGCCTGTACTGTCTTCCCGATCTGGGGTTCTGCCAAGCACCTTGCCTGGGCATTTGTGTGTGTGCAAGACACTATAATGTGTTGTCTGCTGCTTTTTTTTTTTCTTCTCCTATTTCAATTGGCAGCTCTGTTTCCTAAAGTGGAATGAACTGAAGATACAAATACTAATAGAAGATAAATACCCATAAGCTGAAAAAAGAGAGAGCAATCATGTTCAATGTCACCATCCTACCACTCCCCATTCTGTAAAATATACATTATCACCTACTCTCAGCATCTCATTTTTGACACTAAAACTTAAAATAATTTTATTTAATAGGAGAACTTATATTATAGTTTTACTTCAAAACAACACAACAGAAACCCTGCAACTGATTGCAGACTCAGGCTTCCCCAGTGACCAACAATTTTAATTCCAAGAGGTGAGGATCTCAGGAGGTGGCATTCACCCACTAGGGAGCTAGGGAAAGGGGACCAACCTGTCTCCACACCCAGGAGAGGAGTCCCTCCAGCCAAGACAGGACACTCTGCAGCTCTCCCTCCTGTGCCCAGGCCATTGACTACACTCTCATCTGCCATCTGAGCCAAGCCAGGAAGGCAGTTAAAGGAAGGCCCCCAAATATGAAGCAGGGAAAAGGAGACGGACAGAGGTCAAATGACCTGTGATAGGGAAGAGAGGGTGCTGAGGGTGTTCAGAATTTCAAATTTTAATTAAAATGAAAAAAAAATGTCAACTTGGAATGTCATGATTTTCTTCAAACAAGCAATAACAACAAAATAGAAGAGATTAAACTATTGGCATATTTAACAGCATTGAACAGAATTCTGTGTCCTGTAAAAAAAATTAGCTTATGTCCCCTTGTGGGTATATGCAAATGTGTATACAAACATATCCCCCTAGGTGAGCTAAACATTATTCTGGAAATAATATCCTCTACCCAAGTCTACTTGGCTATATCTGTGGGTAGTGTATGCTGTGTGTAGGTCTCCAATTTACATAAAGGCAAGCTCCCGGCCAAATCTACCAAAGAGTTTTCTAGGAGGAAATCTGGTGGGAGGCAGGGAGAGGAAAGACATTCATCTCAGTCTTTCACCTGAGCTTTTGTACAAAGCAGGCAGATTGCCTCCTGACCTCAGGCAGATGTTTAAGTCTTCACCAACTAAGAAAGCTCTGTTATTCTGGCCTGGGTGCTTGCTCCAGACTCAGGAACATCTGGTCAACCCAAGCATCACTGGACTGGGAAATTGTGTGTGTGCTGCATCATCTCCGACTCTCTTGTAGTTTCTTCCCTCCCTCCCTCACTCTCACATGCAGACACAGACAGAAACAGTCTGGTTGGGACATGCAGTGGCAGCTC